TAACAGTAAATACAACATTGCCACAGAGACAGAAACTCTGTGCCTGGGGAACTTTGCAAGTTAAAATGGTGAAGACTGGGACGGCGTGAAAGGGAGTTTAGAAGAGGGAGCTGGCCACAGGATTTCAGAGGCCTGTATATCCCTTTGGTCCCTGTCACCTTCTCAACAGGTCCCGGGCATCCAATCTAGGCTTTTCATGAGTTTCCTAGTGAAGTATATTTTAAAAATTCCCATCTAACCCTGTGGACTTTGCAGTGGGAACACAGGCAGCAGATGTGGAGGAATCGTAGGACTCTGCACAGACCCAGACCAGCTGGAGCACAAAGGCCACCAATGCCCACATGGCCTTCTGTGGTGTCTCTCCCTGGCAGAACCTCTTACTTCAATATCTACCTTATTCCTTAGCATGAGCGCTGCAAGGACCCCGAAGTACAGATTGAAGCCTACACGCCACAGCGGGTGTGTAAATAGTGGGCAAAATAATTGTTCATTCCTTAAAGTTTGACTTCAGATCCTCAGTCAACTTTAGAAACCAAGAATTCAGGTGGCTTTGCTTAAGAGCTTTGTCCTTCAGAGGTCAAGAGAGAGGCCGCAACATGTGTGCTCTCATGAACACAGTGTTCTCTGCAGTTACACAAAACCCCCAAGTGACGCGAGATGTGAGCTCTGATTCTCACAGGCACCTGAGAGGCTCCATCCAGTTTTCTGGAAGGGCACCAAAAAAGACAGCAGATATGTCCAAAGTGTGACTGCCTCGCTCGGGGAGGCCTCTGCCTTGCTAGTGATTTGCACAACTCGTAGGTGACTAGCCAAGAAGCCTCTGTGCAGAGCTGGGAAGACCCTCATTAAGACTGACAGGTACTGTGAGCACAGGTAGAAGGCTACACTTTGAACTCTTTAGTTGTTATACTTGAGAAAGAAATTGCTGACTTTCTATTTCACTCAATTCCAGGGGTGGTGGGTGTGAGTGTGGGTATGTAGATGAGATTCGTAGGGACACAGGCAGCCTGTGGGCACATCCCAGGTTATTGTAACAATTCAAAGTGCCACACACATAGTTTAGAGAGAAAAAAAGCAATAGTTTCCACTTTAGGAGCATTTTAGAGAAAAATCAAATATAAGGGAAAAAACCCTTCTTACTTATTAAATTGAATTGTGGTCTAACAGTTTGCCACATCCTGTTAAGGGACATCTGACTAAGTGAGCAGAGGTTCCTCTTTCAGGCAAGTCGTGAGGGTCACATGTCACCTGCAGTTCAAAACACCTCTATAAAGAGAAGCCTTCGTGTCAGTGGAAAGCTGCATAAGAAGATGGAAATTATCAGTGGAGAGAAGACACGGTGGGAACTCGTGGGTGGCATCACCACAGCTGTATCAGAGAGAAAGCCACCCCAGAGGAACCAGCAGGGCCAGGGAAACGTGGGCTGATAGGGACCCAGAGTGGTGACCTCATGGAAGAGAAAGTAGTGACAGGAAAGAACGAGGGGGTCGGGATGTTGGTCAGCCACCTGTCAACTACACCACCTCAGGTGTGTCGCTTAACTACACCAGCTTTATCAAAGACACGTATGTAGAAAAACGAGCCCCTCTGTCTTGTAAACAGCTGTGTGGCCTGTCACCATTGCAGCACTGTCTACCCCAGCAGCACGGACCGCCACATGGAATGCCGCTAGGAAGCAGGCCACGGTCTTCGCTGTCCATCAGCTGCTGCCTGCCCCACTCAGCCCCGTGGGCAGCTTTGAGAAAACTCTTATGTGGGGGGATGTTTGCGTTTGTTAAACTTCATGGTCCTAACTGGACCTTGTGCCCCTGACAAACAGTGGGGCCCACTTCCAGCCGTGAGCGCTGGGGCAGGGAAGCCGGGGAGCCACCTGAAGTCATATCACATCAGGTTCTCAGGACAGGACTCGAGCTTTCCTGAGATCTCAGTGGTAACCCCAAGCAAAACTGAGAAAGCAAAGTAGACATTTGGTGACCTGCCGCTGCCTCCAGTGGGGGACCCCGGCGGCTGAAGACCACTGAGTAATTCCCCACCCCTCAGGAGGGCTCTCCCTTTGAGGCTCAGGTGCCCCAGTGGGCAGCAGGGGGAAGCCCACATCTCAAGTTTCTTCCTCTTTTACCTTTAAAGCATTTTTTTGTGGTCTTGTCAGACCCATGAAGATTCTCAGCTGCTTTTTGATGTCTCTGACCCACGCCATCACCCTTATCCCTGGGGACTCCATGGGTCATGGTTGCTCTTCAGATCTTCTGTTTGTCCCATTTTTATTACTCCTCAGATTTCTCTCCTGGTTTCTCCTCCCACGTCCCTCCTCCTGTTGTTAGGGTCCCTCAGGCCTTGTCTCTTAAATCGTCTTTCCGCCCTCAGAGATTCTTTTATATCTTAGTATTTCTCAGACCTCCCTTCTTTCATCATTAGCCTTCGTCCTCAGTTCTCTTTGCGTGTGTGTGTGTGTGTGTGTGCGCGTGTGTGTGTTAATGTATGTCCACGTGTGTGCGTGCATGCCGGTGGCATACTGGGAGGAAGATTTGGGTAACCCGTTCTGTCACACTCCACCTCATTCCCTTGAAATGGGGTCTCATTGAACCTGGAGCTAAGCCGGCAGCCATCAAGCCCCTGTGATGCCCCTGCCTCTGTACCCCACAGTGCTGGGGTTACTGGTGTGCACCCACACCTGGCTTTTTAACATAAGCACTGGGGATTTGCACTCAGGCCCTGCCATTTGAACAGCAAATACCTTTCCTCACTGAACCTTGGCCTCAGCCCCTCCCATCCTTCATCATTACTCCTCATATTACCCCTTAGATCCCTCCTTTCTCATCACTGTTCCTTAGCTTCCCCTTACTCCCCTCAACATTATTCCTTATGCCTCCTCTCATCATTACTATTCTTCAACCTTTTTTTCACTAGTAAGCACTACTAGTGGAATGATCGGTCTGTTGTTCAGTCTATCCTGTGATCTGAATGGGCAATAAGACACTGACTTTCTTAGTGTGATATGTTTGAATGGTGTCTCGATTCTTGCACGGAGCCCAGTTAAAACGTATTTGGAACGCATGGGATTGCTTCTGCCTCTAAGTGGTGCCTCATCTCCAAGTCCTGGCGTTTCATACTCCACAGATATCTTTCCTAGCTCCACATGCCCACCTGCCACTCAGAGACGGTCACCAATCCAGAGCCCCAGGTGGGATGTTTGTCCTAACTCTGCCCTTACCTGGGACCCCAGCCTGGGCACTGAGTACCCGGGGCCCTAGAGCACTCAAGGCTTGGAGACAGCGTGAGGCAAATGGAACACCCTGGCAGTCAGACGCAGCTGTCTGTCACCGGAACAGAGATGGGTGTGGCACTGTGGAGGGGGCTGTGGCTTGTCTCCACCCCCACACAGAAACCCTCTGCACACAGCTCTTGCTTCATCTAAGCCCTTCTAAATTCGCCCCCCCCCAGAGAGCCTAATTTCAGGCGAGCCCTTTTCCACCTTAAAAAGAGAAAGAAATGTGTGGTCTTCCTCTGTCAGCTGTTCTTTGAGGTGACACTGATGAAGGATAGGCAGGTGGGCCTCTTACAGGAGGGCCACACAAGTGACAGGGAAAGAAGCATAAAGCTCAGATGGAGATGCTGGCAAGAGAGCCATGAGAAAAACCACGAGGACACAGAGGGGACATGTGACTGTGGCTTGTACTGCACAGAGCAGACACCCTGGGTCCTCCTGGGGTCCCTGCTGCCTGGCTGCTTCCTAGGGCTGTGCAGCGGCCCTGCACCCACACCCCAGCATCATGGAAAATGTTGGTAGCTAAGGAGCTACCAGGGCGAACTCCAGGGACAAGTTGAGTCCTGATTGCTGGTCCCAGACCAGCCTGCGAGCACCTGGGCCTTGTTATTCCTCATTAGTGGCTGTGAAGTCACAGGGCCAAAGGGAGACTGCCTGCCTTCTGGTATTTTCCACACTAAAGAGTGAGCCCTCCCCGTAGTGTGCTGGGTCCCCTGGTCAAGGATCAACCCTGGATCGGCACAGAGGGGCCCATGAGTGCCCCCACCACAGATGAAGCTGGCCAGGAAGCAGCCGCAGTTCATCTTTGAAAGTGTGACTCGCCCTAGGCAGGGCAGCCCAGGAGCACAGCAGTGGCACTGGGACAGGAGCCCTCACCCTTGTATGTGTCTTGCAAGGCAGCCCCTTTTGGGCGAGCCTGGGCTCTGTTTGCCGCCAGGCTTCCTTCTGCTATCTGTTCCCATGACACAATTCCTGGTTCCCCCAGTTGCGTTTTATTATTGTTATTCTTAAAACTATTGCTGGAGAAGGGGTGTTGAAAGGCAGTTTAGGGAAGGGAGTGGTGATGAAATGCACGCACCCCCCCATGGCTCCAGGAAGCGTCCTCAGACTGGCTGGGGCCTCCATCAGTGAGCTCCAGGGGCTTATCTAGATGTGGGGAGGGTGCTCCAACCCATGGGGAAGGGAAGCCCGGGTGGTTCCCTGACGTCAGCATGGGTGCCCTGCCTTCAAACTCTGTTGAAAAATGGGACGTGGTGACAGCCGCCCAGTGACATTTCCTATCTCAGTGTGGATCAGGTGGCTGAGCAGAGAGAGGCAGGGTGGAGAGGGAGGGATGTTGGGCTGTTTGCTAGTGATGGCCTTCCCTAGCTTCTGTCATTTCCTGTCCATCTGCCAACAATCACACAGTGATAGTGGCCATCACTGGCTTGTGGGGGCCACTGTGACTTGACCCTCTTCAGAAAAACAAATGAGGTGTCCCAAACAAAGGGAGGTTCATGACCAGCCACGGAGCACACTCCAGAGGACGCTGTGGTGTGTCAACATTTTGTTTTACAAACTTAGGGAACATCCTGGAGTTGACTCCTGCCCTGGAGAAGGTGTTCTGGGGCATTTAAGCGTCGCAGACTGAATATAACCTGTTAGAAATGTGGTTGTTGGCATTCCCTGCTATTAACTTGGAGGTTGGCAGTAAGGAACCATTTCCCTGAGACTCTCTCCTCTCGTTCTCTTGCAGTAAATGAAATCATTCGCAACGACCTCTCCAGCACGAACCCCCACTCCTAATTCAGCGCTTTGGAGCTGGCAGAAGCTGTGTGGAGTTGGCTCAGTGCAGACAGCTGGGCTTCAGCAAGCAAGACTTTGATGAAATAAACCGAACTCACATCTGGTACCACTCAGAAATCCCAGCTCACTGAGTGCAAGGAGCTTATGTCTGAAGAAGTAGCTCCCTGACAACGATGGGGTAGAAGAGGAAGCCATTGCAACTCTTGAGAGAAACGTCCTCTCAAGGAAAGAGAAGGGCTGGCCGGTGAGGCCAGGGGCAAATGCTGGCCCACAGAAAGAAGGGCCTGTGTGGCAGCCTGCCCCCAGGCCTGAGCCTCCTGCCCACTGGAGTAAAACACTGGAAGTGCCTTATTTCATCCTACCATTACACCAGGGCATTATGGAAGCAAGCATTGAATTTTCTACCATGAGAGTATTTGTAGGAGCCAGAGCTATTTAAAAGAAAACACTTTGTTAGGAGCCTTTGTCCTTTGTATTAATTGATAGGATTCTGGTCAGCTCTGGCTTCCTACTTATTTCTAACTTTCCTGGCCGTCCTACACAATTTGCCTGCCTTATCCAGTGCATTTTAGAGGTCTTCCAATTGTCATCTCAGCTCTTTCGTAATGAGATCCCTCCTCCGTGTGACTAAAACCATAGGTTTGTTGATAATAGCATGCTGAGATTTTTGTTTTTAATCTGGCTTCAAACATAGCACAAGGAAGTTGAACAGCACAATACAGGGCCCTGGACAGAACACAACCTGCCTGCTTTGGGACAGAACCTTGTGTTTGCATGCTTGTATATATAGGCATATATTTATGTATAGATACTCAAGAATGGAGATGGTGATGACCAGTCCAGGCCCAGCGGGGCTTCCATGTTAGCAATAATGAGTGTTCACCTTGAGAATGCACCTCAGAGTCCAGACCCCATTTTCCAGCACCTTCCATCAGGGCCTGACACCCCTGCACAGACAGGGCCTGTCCCCCCTGCACAGGCAGGTGGCACTTTCGTGTCTCATGAAGTTACTGAGCATTCTAGACCGCAGTAGAGCTGTGATCAAATGCCCACAGGCTACCAAATGGCCAAGTCTGGAAGTGGTTGTAAGTAACCATTACAAAAGGAGTGTAATATATTTGTTCAATTATAAGATTATTATTTCACACAAGCCTTATAGCTCTCTGCTTCATCTAAGAAAACAATTACCAAAAAAATGTTTCTGTATGCAGTCTGTGGATAGTATGTTTTCAGGTTAGTTACTGGTAACAGATAGGCCGGTGTTGGCTTTGTGTAATTAGCCGCTTATTACAGACACTAGCAGTGGCCCATTATTTCTTATAACCAAAAAGCATGGTTTAATTAAAACATGTTTAATGACTGTGCCTTAGGAGTTAATGCCCCCTTATGGAACATGCCTGAATTGCACCTGTGGGTGTAAGTTAGTCACAGACAGGAGTCGTGACAGGAAAAGCTCTCACAGGGACATACATCTTTAAAATGTTGGTCTGTACGATGGTGTCTTACTTTTCTCCAACTCACAGAAAGAAAGAAACGTCCGAAAGCCATACTGAACGATTTCACATGACTGTGAAGAGCTGACATGCGCCACCCTGTAGACACGTAGCCCCTGGCCACCTGCAGGCTGCCTCCTACCCAAATATACTATGTACCTATGTGTATTAGCATCATGGAGTTGCATGAACCATATGAAAGCAAGCGTTTGATATTTGTGCCGGCAGTCTTTGTAGTTAGAAAAATGGATCCAATAAAGCAGTATTTTTCTTTTTTCCCTTTTTGCTGGACAGTCTGTGTGAGAGTGATTGTGGGTCACTTGGCTTCCTTCTGTATTGCACATAAATGTGGGGATCTGTGACAAGTGCTTTACCAAGTGGACACGGTTGTTCCCGGGTCATCTAAACACAGGAAGAAGCTGTCTTCCCTTCCTGAAAGGAACGAGTGGATATTTGGTGGTGTTCTCAGGCATTGTAAACAAAACACTTCAAAAATGCTCATCCAGCCGAGGTGGGGAAGGAACTTCTGCTTATGCCAAATACTTTCCCTCAGAGGGAGACTCTGGGTGAGGCTCTGGCCACCCACATGCTCACTGGTGATTGGACGAGCTGCTTTGCCAGGAGAATGCGTGTGCTTCAGTTGACATGGCCGAGCCTTCTCTCTCCACTCACCCTTTGCCCCTCTCCTCCCAACACAGACCCCTCTTAAAGCTCTCGCGAGAAACTGTTGAGATACTCAGACCGAGGAGGAGACGTGGGATGGCCATAGTATTACTGACCTTAAGTGTCTCCGAAACAATTTCTGTGCCTGGGACTTGAATGCCGAACCCCTTGTATTCTTTGCTAAGAGGTTTACAGACTGACTTACAATACTAGAGAAACCGCCGCCCTCATCTTCAGTGACGTGCATGTGTCCACCCCACCTGGCTGCTGCCTCAAGGCTTTGCCACAGCCCTCATGAGACCTGACCAGAGAGGGTGACAAAGAAGGGACAGAGGATGGTGTGGGGGAAGGTGGCGGTTTATTATATTCCCAATCTTTGACCTGTGGATCAACGTTGAAGTCCCAGATCCAAGAACGCTGGGTCTAAGGGGAGCAATAGACTCATGTGTCTGCAGCACTGCTCTGAAGCTACCTGTTCCCTCGCTGTACTGGGCACTGGGCCAGCTGGGCTTTGAGGTTGGTGGCTTTGTGCAGCATAGGGTGCTGGGAGCTGCCCTTCCCAGCCAGTGCTCTGTAAATTCCCATTTTCCCCAGTCGCCACGGTAGAACTTTATAGCTCTCCAAATACACACAAAATTAAACAGTTTTGTATGGGTCTGCCCATTGATTTTGATCAATGAGGAAATCCTGAAGAATCCTGGATTCAGCTGTAGCAAGGAGGTTGGGCAGTTGTGTGTGGCCCTCATGTCTCCCAAAGCAACGCTGTGTAGTTCTCAGGGGCAGTGGGAGGGGGTAGGAGATGCCTCAGCTTAACTGGGGTTGGCTGGGTCCCCTGGAGCACTTCATACTCTGCTGGACACCGCCTTCCCATAGTGTCTGTCCTTGGTGACCAAAACCACTCAGGAGCCTTAAGGGCAGGCGGATTTCCTTACATGTGTTGCATTTGAGAGAGAGAACAGCCCCACATCTGCTTCATTTCTGACCTGAGACGTTGGGATGAAGACGCCGATACGTATGCAAGTTGTCCTCACGAACAAGTGCAGACTGAGCAAAAGTCCAGGTATTTGGGATCCAGCTACCTGCCCTGGAGCCATCCTCCTTGTTCTTGTGAGACACAGTCTCTTATTTACTTGGAGCTGCCAATCATGTTGGGCTTTCTGGTCAGCAAGTCCTAGAGATCTTCCTGTCTCTGCCTACCTAGTGCTGGGATTTCAGCCACATACTAATGCATCTGTTTTGTTTTATTTAAATATGGTTTCTTGGGATCAAGTCAAATGCCATGCTTACAAGGCAAGAACATTGTTGTCTGAATTCACAGATGGAGATAAACATTTTTTAGTGTGAATCACTGTGGCATTATGTGTGTGTGTGTGTGTGTATGTGTGTATTCACGTAATGTGTGGCCCCTTTGTCCAGTTCCAAAATGTCTTCATTAACCCCCACCCAAGCAAATCCCATGCTTGTTCTTGGACCCCTAGATACAGAAACGTATCTGTCTTCAGTAGATTTTCTGGGACAGTTGACACAACTGTCCTGTGAGCCTGGCCTCTGTCTCCTGCCCATCTCTGATGAACACGTACATGGCTGTACCCCCGTGGAGTCACACAGTGCTGCATTGTGCAGTCTCCGCTGCCACTGACACATTGCCCACAGGCAGATGTCGCCTCACCCTCACCTCTGGCTTCTGCAAGCACTGCTCTTGTGAACGGTCACATACATTTAATCTCAGCTCTGGGACAGACGCTGGAGACTGGGGCCCCTGGTCATATGGCAACTGAATGTAAGTTTACGAGACTGTTTAAATGATCCATCCCTGAGACAGACCTGGCTCACTAACCTAATTTGGAATTACACATGTGAAGCACATCATATTTATAATTCTTTATGCCAAAAAAATTAAGTTAGGTCGAAGATGACTGAACGTTTGCTTAGACGGAAGCTGAAAGCAGACCCTCAGCCTGCCAGTGACGGAGCTCAGCAAAGCTGGCCCGTCTAGGGTTTCTGCCGGGAAGCTGGGACCACAGGAGCCATGTGAGTCATTCCTCTGGTGCCAGATGAGCCCCTAGTGAGCCTCCTTTTACTTCACACACAAGCTAACACGGTGAAGAAAAGAGCCACGGTAAAGACTTCAGAGCTGGGAAGGCAAGCCTAGAGTAGAAATGTCCTCAAATAACAGAATCGCTGTGGATGTGGCCAGAGGAGCAAACCTGGTAATCCGCAGTCCTTACGTTCTCCAAGTGAGGTTTGTGGTGCTCTCTGTTTCTAGGTACTTTTGTCAAAAAGCAGTTTCACCATCTCCGATCCCTGTAGCCAACAGGTTTTCAGACACGGTACCCTCAGTCTGACGGCCCGGGACAGGGGCTTCTTGCTCATGGCGCGTAAAACAGAGTGGTAAGCCATGTGCTGCTAATGGGCTTCTATTCCCAGCACCGTCGTCACCATTCACCATCCTTTGATCTAAAGCAAAGGGAAAGTGCAAATGGGAACCTACCTGAAGCTAGCCTGAGTCAGTGGAAAGTGCCCTGGTTGTCGGGTTCACTATCAGCCCGTTTGCCCCGTGCCGTCACCTGGTCTAACCTGGTGTAATGAGAAGCTGAGCCCTGCTTACTCCGCCACTCTGTTCTCCCCACCCTTCTTTCCCAACCATGAGTCTGCCACTGCCACAGACTTCTTGAGGACAAGGACTTTACTCACATCATGTATCTCCTGGCTTTATCCCTTGAGACCTGGAAGTCAGTTTGCAAAGCGTCTGGATTCTCTGCCCACCACACATTCTCAGAAATGCCTACACTCACATTGTGTATCACGATAGAGGCCACCCCACTATGCTTAACAAAATATGTTCCGGCTTTGGGGGGCTTTGCCACCACTGGTTGGGGAGAAGAGAATTGTGGCACAATGACCATTGGCTGTGGGGCCACTCAACTGCCAAGACTCTGCCTACCTTCCTAGACATTTGCCTTCGACGGCAACAGTGGAGCTATGAACTTCAGGGACCAAGGCTGGCAGTGACTGTAGAACTCAGTGTTGCCTCTGGCGTGGTCCAGGCAGAGAGTATAAATTGCAGTCCCTATGTAGACAATGGGGATTGGGTGTGGACAGCTGCGCCCACAGCCCCTCTGTGGACACTGATGTCTGGGCATAGACAGCTGTATGCACAGACTCTCTGTGGATTCTGCGGCCTGGCTTTCTTTAGCCTGTTCCGTGAGGAAATTCTTTCAAACCCCCGCTTCGTCACACAGAGAAGTTGAGCAGTGGTGAATCAAGAGGCTGCACAAACACCCACAGTGGCAGAGGGCTTAGTGGGGCAGGGGGAGCTGAAAGAGGCCCCACAGTGGCAGATCCTATCCCCTGAAATGTCTTACCCCTCCCTAAACACAGGGCGACTTGGTGCTGCCTCCTGAACAAGTGCTGTAGACAAGACTCCCAGAGATACCAGACTCAGGGAGGGCAGCTTTCTCCCATGGCCGCAGAGGACGCTTTCCCTGGGAGCCAGCCATTATGCTGTAAACCAGTCTGGCCACAAAGAAGGCCGTGTGAAGGTGAACACTGCTGGGCGTCAGCTACCACTGTCCGAGTAAGTGAATAAGAGAGGGGAAATAAAGTGTGGACTGGTGGGCAAATGTGAGGTTTCCTGCCCAGACATGGGCCTCCCTGGTGGACACGGGACCACAGGGACCACCTGTCCCTGCCAAGCTCACCCACTACAGCATACGCATTGTCCTGTGAGGTCATTAACTTTTGAGGTGTGTGTTGCAGGCAGGCAGAGGGGCAACAGTCTGGGGACTTGCTGGGCTTTGTGTGCTGTGACAAGGGGTAGGCCCTGTCCCGTGGGACAAGGGTCTGCAGCAGAGCAGCGATGGTGTTTGCCAGAGGGGTTTCTGAGAAGAGTCTGTAGAGTAGAAAGACACGATGAGAAGCTGGTCTATCATCACAGAGGCCATGATGGAGGGTGAGCGGTAATCACACCAAGTGTGTTGATGAACTCAGTTGGTCCAGGATGTGTCCAGGGTCGCCAGCTCAGCCACCACAGGGAGAGTGGAATGCGGCGTACCACAACCCCGCCATGGCACTGGCCCAAGGTGCATCCTGGACCAGCCAGTAGTGCTCACCTCTCTGTACAACATCCTCTGTACAGGACCTGGACCAGCCAGCAGTGCTCACCTCTCTGTACAACATCCTCTGTACAGGACAGAAGTGGCCTTCTGTTCCAGGACCTAACACAACCACGAGTCCTCTAAGCAGTTGCTGGGGGTCACCTAGGGCCTCCAGGGCTCACCCCACCCAAGCCCCATTCCTTTGTTCCCTGTCCCAGCTAAGGACACCACCTGCCTGAGATCTGCTGTGGCCTTCCTATTTCTGGGACTCACCTCACTCCAGCTCACATGCTCTGAGTGACTCTCCGAGTGACTAACTTCACTTCCCTTTACTCCCAAGGCTTCATGACAAGACTTTGGTGTCCCTGCCAATAGAGAAAGGACAGGATCTGCTTGTAAACCTCTTACAAAAAGTCCTCTTCCATCTCTGATTTTTTTCCAAGGGACAAAGAAAATACTTGAGACCCTCAACCGAGGTGCAGGCCATTTAGGTTGATGTCCAGCAATGGTCACGTG